TTATTTTGAAAATTCTTTGGGGTTACTCTTGAAATAAATTAGAATAAATCGATATTGAAATTAAGACGTTTCACATTCTCGAATTGCAATACTAGTGACATAATGGCTACATATTGTTTTAGTAGATGCATATTAGTTTAACTTGCCAGTGCAAACTATTGTAAACCGATCTCAATGATAATTTAATTCTTAACTGGTGTAACCTTCCGTTAGACCGCATTCAAAGTCGGGCAGCTCGAATTGTTGACGATTGCCGCCTTACTGTGCGGCTCGACTCACTGAAACTGCGTAGAGATGTTACATCTCTGTGCATCTTCTATCGAATTTATCATGGGGAGTGCTCTGAAGAATTGTTCGAATTGATAACTGCTGCTGATTTTCACCATCGTACTACCCGCCATAAACTAAAATTTCATTCCGAACATCTGGACGAGTGGCGGTCCTCCACCGTACGTTTTTCAAGGCACTTTCTCCCACGCACAACCACTCTTAGGAATCAACTTCCAGCAGCAGTATTTCCGAACCGATACGACAACATAACCTTCAAGAAAAGAGCATATTCCTTTTTAAAAGGCCGGCAGCACACCTGCAATGTTGTTGTGGGTGATCATGGGCGGCGGTAGTCACTTACCATCAGGTGAGCCGCATGCTCGTTTGCCCCCTGTGTTGTAGAAAAAATGTGTGCAGTATAAAATTATCATTAGCTGTAGATTGGATTGATATTAATATTAGATTTAAGCGTAGACCTGATTATTTCAATCGATAGAGTTCGCTTTCGTCAGTGTTGCCAGACTGGGTGGTTTTTTCGATAAAAATTTCGTTGTATTCGCGAAATAAAATCGTAGGGGAAATTAAAATAAAATAAAAAGTATTTCAGTAATTGTTAGTAATCTAATTATTGATAGTTCCTTTTAAGTATAAATGGCGTTTTTTTTTGTAACTAGTATGGCGGTATATAAATTCAGTAAACAATGACAATGACGGTAGCAACATGAGGTGAAGGAGTAACGTGTACAATTGGTTGTTCTTTTTATGTAGTTCGCATAGTAGTTACGTAGTAAAACATAGTGAAAATCGACACAAGTTCATTATTAGATAGAAAAAAAAATTGATACGACATCGTAACCTGAAGGTCTCTTAAGATTTCTTAAAAGAAACGATCAATTTACTTTTTAAAAGGCTGCCAGCATATCTGCAAGTCCTCTAGTATTGCGGGTACTCATAGGCAGCGGTAGTCACTTACTATCAGGTGAGCTGCATGCTCGTTTGCCTCTTGTGTTATAAAAAAACGAAATTGAATCAATTCCGAAGAAAAAAAAACATAGCACCTATAAACAAAACGTCCGATTCTCATTTTATTATTTATACCAGCCGTTAACTGTTCACTGCTGAACATAGGCCTAAGGAGGGTTTTGCCAGTAGTTGCCACGGTTGGCAAGCGGGTTGGCAACCGCAGTTAGGCTTTTGTTGATGTTTTAAGAGGGATGCTGCTGCCAATCCCGCGGCCATTATGTTCTTTAGTCGCTTTTTACGACACTCACGACAAAGGAAGGGGTGGCCTATTCTATGCCGGGACCACACGGCCAATAAAGTATATAAATAAATAAATTCCTAAATCACTCCAACAATTCAAGTACCGTTAAGTTTAAAGTGTAAACTTAAAGAAAGTTCGAAGTCCGGCTAGCGTCCGACTGGAAGTTAGCCTATTTGAAACTTTGTATTGCACTTGGGCCCCAATGGACGTCATTGAATACCGTCTCGGGCCTCGATTGCGAAGCTATTTTTATGTTGAAAGTTGCAATGCGGCAGTTATGATATTTTAAATACACTATCGGGACTTAACGCGAAGCAATTTTCTTTTGATGGATGATAATGAAATGGTAGCCCTGCCTGCGCTAACGGTATACGCTGACGGGGCACCAGTGACTAATGATAGGTGGGAATAAAAAGACAGTCCAGGGGGGACCACGTCAAGGTTGATCTGACAGGGTATATTGCTAGCAATGGAACTGGTAGTCTTCGTTACTAACAATCCCTTCTTCCCTTTTGTGATAGGTACGTTACAGTTTTTTTTTTATGAGTGAAAATGGTATGTTAACCCCGCCTGCGCTAACGAGATACGCTGGCGGAGCACCAGTGAAGGGTGATAGATAAGAATGAAAACAGACCAGTCAGCCCATCATGATGAATTCATCAGAAATTAACCATGATAGTTTCCAGGGAGAACCGCAAGGAGGTCGACCTGATTGGGTATATTGCTAGCAATGGGATTCTCAGTCTCCATTACTAACTTCTACTATCCTTTTCCCCCCGGTACGTTACAGTTTGGCCCGTCAGCGTTTATCGATACCGTATGCGGGGTTACCATTTGATTATCACCCAATAAAATCTCTTTACGTATGCCTATTACTAAATATTAGTTGTGTATTTCTTTTTTTAAAACACAGATTTTTTTTACACATTTTTTTATAGATATAGTAAATGTATCGGAGGGAGAATTGTATAAACTACAAAAGTAGTTTGCTTGGGTACTTCTGTCCTATTTATGTTTCTACTGTGAAGCAGTTGTGTTTGTATGGCTGTGTTTCGGTTTGAAGGGTAGGATATGACGGTAAATTTACAGTTTACAGAGGAATAACACCTTAGTTTTCAGGAATGGCAACGCATGGGGGTATCATGGGCGAAACAGTATACTCTGTTTGATCCATGGTACTGCTCATGTCTATAGTTGACCGTTACCACTTTCCATCACGTGGACCGTTAGCTTGTTTGCCATTCTAATTTGCATAAAAAAATATATTAGAAGAAATATTTTAAGAATTTTCATATAGAAACAGCAGGGCGGTTATGAGAGCTAAACGAGTAAGAAACGAGCGCTCGCTGAAGGAAATTAAGTGAAAATCGCTAGAGCCACGACACCGTTTGCATTCTACTGCTAAACGTAAGGTATTCGCAGCTATATGTGCAATACTTTGCAGATACTTGCACATCGAAGTCATTTAAAAGTGCAGTTAGGTTTTTCACTTCACAAATAATATTGTAGATTTTTTTTATGAGCCTGTGTATACAGGTTGAAATAAAAATTATAAGCACTTTTTTTAAGTGTTCTCAATTCTAATATTTATCTTTATAAAATATGGGTCGTTGTACGATACATTTTTTTTACTGGTTATTTAAATAGAATTGTTTTGTTTAATTCCGCTAACATTAGTATGTGTGTGACTGCCAACACTCGAAGATTGACCACCACTGTTACTAGCAGAAGTTCCACAACCTTCCATATTAGCCAATAATCTCTGACTACAATTTTGTAAAAAAAATCCTCAGATGTATACACAGCTATATCAAAAATACAGATTAGAAGGTTGTCGCAAAAAACATAGCGACAGAAAACAAAGTTTAAAAAAAGAGACTACCATTTTGTTTATGTATGTTTTGCAACACGTGTTTTATCTTTAAACGAGGCATTTTTAGGCAAATTTTTTAAGTCTCCCATACTAATTCAGCGGCTGGAAACATCATTTCAGTGTGGTAAGTTCAAATTGTCACGTATTAACTCATGTTCTTTTACTCTTCTTCTTTTAAAACATATTCAGTTTTGTCATTAAAATTCTCCCTTAAAAGTTAGCAAAAAGTTTAGATTTTACCCTATACAGATAGATTATGTTGCCGTGTGGTCCAGACGTAGAATGGATTATCCCTTTCTTTTCTTTAGACATCGTAAGAGGCGACTAGGGGAATTTAATAATCCAGAAGCGCCTCTCTTAAAACATAACCAAAACTTAATTGCGCTTGACATTCCGCCTGCTAAGCGTAACTACTGGAAACATCCTCAAAATTCCAAGAAGAAATGGTCCACAGTCTTCGATTTTACAAGTGGCTTGAGGCCATCCTTATGGCATGCCTCCCCCATAGATGCTGGAGGAATATGTTCAGCAATGGACAGTTGTGATCTGATAGGATGATGATGGCATAGATTATATACATAAAGTGTCTCATTACAAATGCTTTGGTAAAACTAGGTTACATTGTTTATCTATATGTGAGTGTTTAGTTCTCCTGGGAATTCCTTCAATGGACTGAACACAAAAGTTTTAATACTTTAAAACTTTTGTGTTAGCTACTGCTAACAGTAATAAATTGAATAGGTACTTTGTAGAGTTATTTACCTATGTCTATTGTTTTGTTTGGTTTAACATTTGTATTTAATACAGTTTTCTTATTTAAAATGTATTAAATTGATAATTGATTCGCTAGTCTAATGTAAAGATTAATTCAGACTTAAGATTTTTGATAAAAAATATTCACCAAGTTTTTATTTACATCAATTTGTAATGGCTTCCACTAACCCAGCCGCTCAAATGATTAAGTAGTTACAAGATTATTTGGAAAGAAAAATCTAAATATCTAAGGGAATACCTTCGAAAGATATCTTCCATTTTACAAATATAAAAGAGTATTCCGTTTTATTTTTTATTTAATCCATTAAGATGGGATCCTTTAGACGAGGTCCGATTCAAATGTTTCTCTGATCGTAATCTCAAAGGAAATACGGTATCAGTCCTAATTTATTTCGTTGAGATGTAATGTTAATAAAATCATCCTTAAACTCTTAAGGCTTTCACTCGTTTTATTAGTGTACTCAACGTGTATGTATACATTTTTGATGTAAATGAGCGCTTTTGTAGAGAAATGGTGAAATTTTTGTGCACGTAAAATTTTAAGTTGAAATGCGCGGAACGCGTTGCTTCACAAAGAACCCAATAACTGTTCCCTAACACGTACATTAGTCACAGAAATGGAAACGCCGACACGAATTTGTTCAACTGCTGAAAACAAAGGACAACTTTCTTCTTTTTAACAATTTACATGGTGTACCTTTGAGATGAATTCTTATTTATTGACGTGAACTAGCCGCGGACGGGACGAGGCTGGTGACCAAAGTAAAAAAAAATTAAGTGACAGTTTAAAAAGGCGGGAAATATAAATATTTTTTTAAAATGTTCAAGGTTATTACAATAATGTTCATGATGATTGTGTACTGTTATTGCTTGGAGAATAATGATTTGGTGGCGACAGAATCAAGGGCAAAGAAGAAAAGGAACACTGCTAGATTATGGGGTGAGTGTTTTGTTTTTTTTTAAACTTAGAATGGCAAATAAGCTGACGGCCCACCTGATGGAAAGTGGTAATCGTCGCCTATAGACATGAGCAGTACCATGAACATAACAGAGTATACTGTTTCGCCCATGATACCCCCCATGCGTTGCCATTCCTGAGGACTCAAGTGTTATTCCTCTGTACTCAGTAAATTCACGCCATATCCCACCCTTCAAACCAAAACACAGCCATGCAAACACAGCTGCTTCACGGTTGAAACACGAATGGGACAGAGGTACCCAAGCAATCGTATTTTTGTACATTTGTACAAAGTCTCCCTCTGGTAAATGTGTATTAATTTTATAATGAATAATGTTTTTTAGGAACTACGTATATATTGCGGAGAAAATTTAAGTTTTATAGGCAACCAAAGGGAGAAACGAAATGTAAGTGTTCACGTGTATCTATCAATCTTTCTGTGACAAACAAAGAAATAAGAAAGCATTTGACATTGAACTAGAAATTATCCGAAATATCTATTTATTGTTCAAACAACAATGAAAATTAATACTTATAAGAAATACTTATAAGAACTTATAAGAAGGTACTTATAAGAAATTACAAGACGGTTAAATATTGTATAATAGTAGGTAATAATCACTTGAAAGAAGGTATAACACCTTAGGTTGTCAATCCTCAGGAATGGTAACGCATGGAGGAATCATGAGCGAAATAGTGTACTCTGTTATGTCCATGGTACTGCTCACTATAGGCGACGGTTACCATTTCCCATCAGGTGGGCCGTCAGCTTGTTTGCCATTCTAAGTTGCATAAAAAAGAGATTAATAAGAGGAATAATGCATTTTTTTATCTTTAATTATTTATAAACCGCGTCCTGGCATAGAATGGGCTATCTCTTCCTTTCGCGTGGATGTCGTAAGAGGCGACTTAGGCACCTTAATCGTCGAGGGATGGGCAGCAGCGTCTCTTTTAAAACATCACTAAAAGCCTAACTGCAGTTGCCAACCCGCCTGCCAAGCGTGGCAACTACTGGCAAAAACCCCCAATAGGGGAAGACCTATGTTTAGCAGTGGATAGTTAACAGCTGATGTGATAATGATGATTTTGTTTTTTAAACGGTTTTATTTAGCTCGACCTGTACGGTATTTATTTATTTGGGTCAAAATTAGAAATTGGAATTTAAGCACCTTCCCGTTGTCAGATTGATCTGAAATTTGGTACACACATTTAATATAACATTAAATACAATACAATATAATAAAATCAATAACATTATAAATCTAAGATGGCCGCGGATACAAAATGGCGGATTACATATTTTTCCTTAACCCCCGCAATATGGGTATCAAATGAAAGGGCTACACTAGTAAAACACGATGATTATGTCAAAATTTAAAATTCAAGATGGACGCCGTTCCAATATGGCGGACTAGGTACATATTTTTCCACAACCACCACAATATGGGTATCAAATAATAGGACTACACTGAGACACCCAGACACTAGACACTCGGACACTAGACACTCAGACGCTAGACCCTCAGACACTAGAAACTCAGACACCCAGACCCTAGACACATAGACACTAGACACTCGGATACAAGACACTCAGAAACTAGACACTCGGACACTAGACACTCAGACACTAGACACTCGACACTTGACACTCGACACTCAGACACTAAACACCAGACACTAGACACTAGACACTCGACACTAGACACTCGACACTCGACACTCAGATACTCTGACACTAGACACTCGACACTCGACCACTAGACATACAGACACTAGACACTCGGATACAAGACACTCAGACACTAGACTCTCAGACACCCAGACACTAGACACTCGGACACTCGACACTCGACACTAGACACTCAGACACTAAACACTAGACACTCAGACACAAGACACTCAGATACTAGACACTCAGACACTAGACACTCAGACACTAGACACTCAGACACTAGACAATCAGACACTCAGACACTAGACATACAGACACTAGACACTCGGATACAAGACACTCAGACACTAGACTCTCAGACACCCAGACACTAGACACTCGGACACTCGACACTCGACACTCGACACTCAGACACTAAACACTAGACACTAGACACTCAGACACAAGACACTCAGACACTAGACACACATCTCACCAGATGGATGGTGATGATGTGGTCTTAGACGAAGCTTGTGGACCCGAGAATAGCCTATTCACAATTGCTTTAAATTAGTTGTGATTATTTTTATTATTAAACGGTTTTATTTAGCTCGACCCGTACGGTATTTATTTATTTGGGTCAAAATTAGAAATTGGAATTTAAGCACCTTCCCGTTGTCAGATTGATCTGAAATTTGGTACACACATTTAATTTAGATGACAATACAATATAATAAAATCAATAACATTATAAATCTAAGATGGCCGCCGATACAAAATGGCGGATTACATATTTTTCCTTAACCCCCGCAATATGGGTATCAAATGAAAGGGCTACACTAGTAAAACACGATGATTATGTCAAAATTTAAAATTCAAGATGGACGCCGTTCCAATATGGCGGACTAGGTACATATTTTTCCACAACCACCACAATATGGGTATCAAATAATAGGACTACACTGAGACACCCAGACACTAGACACTCGGACACTAGACACTCAGACGCTAGACCCTCAGACACTAGACACTCAGACACTCAGACCCTAGACACACAGACACTAGACACTCGGATACAAGACACTCAGACACTAGACACTCGGACACTAGACACTCAGACACTAGACACTCGACACTCGACACTAGACACTCGTCACTAGACACTCGACACTCGACACTCGACACTCAGACACTAAACACTAGACACTAGACACTAGACACTAGACACTCAGACACTCGACACTCAGACACTAGACACTCGACACTCGACACTCGACACTCAGATACTAAACACTAGACACTAGACACTCAGACATCCAGACACTAGACACTCAGACACTGGACACTCGGATACAAGACACTCAGACACTAGACTCTCAGACACTTGACACTCAGACACCCAGACACTAGACACTCTGACACTCGACACTCGACACTCAGACACTAAACACCAGACACTAGACACTTAGACACTCGACACTCGACGTCACTCGACACTCGACACTCGACACTCGACACCCGACACTCGACACTCGACACTCGACAATCAGACACTAAACACTAGACACTAGACACTAGACACTCAGACACTCGACACTCAGACACTAGACACTCGACACTCGACACTCAAATACTAAACACTAGACACTAGACACTCCGACACTCGGATATAAGACACTCAGACACTAGACTCTCAGACACTTGACACTCAGACACCCAGACACTAGACACTCAGACACTAGACACTCGAAACTCGACACTCGACACTTGACACTCGACACTCGACACTCGACACTCGACACTCGACACTCGACACTCGACACTCGACACTTAGACACTAGACAGTCAGACACCCAGACACTAGACACTCAGACACTAGACACTCGGATACAAGACACTCTGACACTAGACTCTCAGACACTTGACACTCAGACACCCAGACGTTAGACACTCAGACACTAGACACTCGACACTAAACACTCGACACTTGACACTCGACACTCGACACTTAGACACTAGACACTCAGACACCCAGACACTAGACCCTCGGATACAAGACACTCAGACATTAGTCTCTCAGACACTTGACACTCAGACACCCAGACACTAGACATTCTGACACTAGACACTCGACACTCGATACTCGACACTCGACACTCGACACTTGACACTCGACACTCGACACTCGACACTCGACACTCGACACTCAGACACTCAGACACTAGACACTCACACTCAGACACTCAGACACTAGACACTCAGACACTAGACACTCAGACACTAGACACTCAGACACTAGACACTAGACACTAGACACTCGACACTCGACACTCGACAGTCGACACTCGTCACTCGACACTCAGACACTAAACACTAGACACTAGACACTAGACACTAGACACTAGACACTAGACACTAGACACTAGACACTAGACACTCGACACTCGACACTCGACACTCAGATACTAAACACTAGACACTAGACACTCAGACACTGGACACTCGGATACAAGACACTCAGACACTAGACTCTCAGACACTTGACATTCAGACACCTTTTTGGCCTCAGTTCCGTCGAACCCAAATGTACGAAACAGATATATCATCAGTTTTAATTGACTTTGGCACAGACGGCATGCACGTTATTTACCCTAAAGCCATACAGTCTCCAGCAAAATTCAATTATGGTACGGCTGAAAAAAGAATGTTGCCCTTAGTTTTGTCATGAGCATTCACCGTCCATAAAATGCAGGGCAGCACCGTCGACCATGCAGTAGTATATTTGGGCTCAAAATGGTTTGAGGAAGGACAAGCATACGTGGCTCTAAGTCGAGTCAAGTCTCTGGAAGGGCTATGTATTGAGGAATTAGATTGTACTAAATTATCAGGTAAGAAACCATGTAATAATGATGCACTGAATGAATTAAATAAAATGAGGAATATTCGGTAAACAATTTCACTAAATACTAAAAACAAGAAAATAAAAATCGGTAAAAAAACTTTTAAGTTAAACGGTTTTATTTTATGTGCACTGAAAACTACAAAATAAATAAATAGTTACTTACCTATCAACCTACGTAGGTGATCTCGGTCATTAATGTCTCTGATGGTAGTGGTTGTCATAACATGAACCATGTCAGCGGCCGAAAGGCAGTTCATGAGAGAACACTAACACCAGGGTTTGCTTGGTAGGTAAACTAAGCAGCCCGCACTATAACAAGTAGGTATTTTGACCTTCTAGTTCAGAAATATTTTAGTACTAGGCAGAATAGCTTTTAGGCATATTAGACTAAAATAAAAACGTGGGGCCCCTCTGAAATCATACCTATAGCAGAGCATATCTTATACTTTGGTAGATCATGAGCTCGGCGTTCGCTGGTGAAGCCGTAACGGCTGGTTATTGATGGTCAAAACCTCCAGTTACGATTATAGTAAGTCGATTCAGCGGACCCTGGACTCCGGAGCTATGAGGTTTCGGATGCGACCGGGATAAACCGCTAGGATGATGATGATGACGATTATAATAAGTCGATGCAATCCACACTTAGTATAGTAGAAAGTAATACAGAAATAGTTAATGGGCCCCACGTTTTTATTTTAGTCTAATATGCCTAAAAGCTATTCTGCCTAGTACTAAAATATTTCTGAACTAGAAGGTCAAAATACCTACTTGTTATAGTGCGGGCTGCTTAGTTTACCTACCAAGCAAACCCTGGTGTTAGTGTTCTCTCATGAACTGCCTTTCGGCCGCTGACATGGTTCATGTTATGACAACCACTACCATCAGAGACATTAATGACCGAGATCACCTACGTAGGTTGATAGGTAAGTAACTATTTATTTATTTTGTAGTTTTCAGTGCACATAAAATAAAACCGTTTAACTTAAAAGTTTTTTTACCGATTTTTATTCAAATGTGAATTTTTATTTTTACCAAAACATCAAATTTTTTTTTTAATTAATATGATTATTTAAGACTTTTACTCAATCACAAAATTGTATCATTTTTCACTACGTTTTGCCATGTGCCACAAAGTTCACCTACCCTTTTCTTCTCTTATCCCATTCTTCGTATTTCTATCTTCAGTCATATTTTACTTTATTTTGTATTTATATATACACCTTAATACAATTTACAAGTACCAAAAATGTCAAAAAAAAAATTCTTAAATTTCTTCACTTTTATTTCTCAAAAATTAAGCGTACAGAAATTTTTTTCCCAATATTTAAAAAAAGAGAACAATCTGGTACGCTAGTCGCTTCTTATATACCATATCTCTAAAATTATAATTTTAATTTGGTCGTTTAATAAAACTAGGTATGGACAATTCAAAATAAAGAAATGTGAAGCTGTTTTGATAATTGTATAAAAAAAAATTGCCTTTGGAATAATCATTTTAAAGAATGGTTTCACAATTGACTTCAGTGCTCATAAAACAGACCATGTTTAGTTTGGTTTCAGTGTTTATATCATTGAATCTTTTATTTACTTACGTTTTCCTTTCTGTTGCAGCCATGATACTTCTCTTCGCGTTCTCAAAAGTGGCAGCTCTTAAAGTGGCAACGTTCTTCATCTTTATGGCGTTCTTCCAGAAAGTCTTCTATATTGTGGGTTTACTGCTCAATTACTTCTTGAAGAGTAAAGCATCTAAACCGCAGCCGGTTTACGGGGCACCCCAAGATTACAATACAGTGGGTTATAGCTACGGTCCTCCAGAAGAGACCTTCCCATCTCAGGAGCCAGGATTGCCCGGCATTTCGGAACTTGGCGGCTCTTTAAATTGGTTGCTTAATAAAAATCCATAGATAAAAAAATAGTATTAAATACGATTATTAAATTATTTATTAAATTATACCTTCGTTTTTAATTTACCTTTGAAGTTTTGTTTTACACATTTAAATCATTTTTAAAAAGGAAGGCACTCGAATTTTGTCTGTATATTCTTGTGGCTATATAACGTGGTATCTTTACTGCTGAATCGATTTTGATAATTCTTTTTGCGATCGGTAGTAGGTATTCACCGTATCATATTGCATTATGTTATAGTGACTGAAGCAGCCATTTTTACACGTTCTTATAATTTTGTTCTTTTTGTGTTCTAAATTTAAAACAACTTATGTGTTAACGCAAGATTCTATTGATCGTTGATAACTCTTATTTTAAAATAAGAATACAATATGGTAGAAATAATAAACAGCAAACTCTACTGAGTTCAAGGCGGGGTGTTGCCACTTTATCAATTTTCTATCAGCTGAACAATGGGGAAAAATCCAAGGTATTATATGACCTGATGCCATCGTCACTCTTTTATCATCATACCTCTTTCCATAGAGCTGGAGTTCACCTTGATTTCTTGGGTGCATGGTATAGTACTATTGTTCCTGCATCCCGTTCATTTCTATCTCGTCCATCTAGATTTTAGAATTAGCTCCCGTCTACAGTTTTCCCTTTACGATATATTAGGGAGAATTAAAAAAAAATGTGTTAACAAACATTTAAAATACCGGCAAGTGATAAGCAACTCCTCTCGTGTTACAAGTGTTCATGGGCGACGGTAGCCGCTTTCCATCAGGTGGACTGTATGCTCGTTTGCCTCCCTAACAATAAAAAAAGAAGGTTCATCAGTGAATTAAATTTCTTTCAGTGATCGAGTAATCAACATCCAAACATATTTACCAGAGGGAGACTTTGTACAAAAGTCGTTTGCTTGGGTATCTCTGTCCCTTTCGTGTTTTAACCACAAAACAGTTGTGTTTGCATAGCTGTGTTTCGGTTTGAAGGGTGGTAGGCGTGAATTTACAGGATACAGGGGAATAACATCTGAGTCCTCAGGAATGGCAACGCATTGGGGGGTATCATGGGCAAAACAGTATACTCTGTTATGCTCGTGTCTATAGGCGACAGTTTCCATCAGGTGGGCCGTCAGCTTGTTTGCCATACAAAGTTTTATAAAAAAACATTTACAAATATGTTTATAAACATTATAATGATTCTAGATTTATCTTCCATTTGATTAATAGTTCAGTTATTACAAGATATGTTTATCGTAGACCTCAACTAGGGGTTGGTTCTAAAATATCACTTTAATTGGATTTGACGCCGCCGTCCGCCGCGATGATCCTTTATTAGCACGTCATAAACACGTCACTCAAACCTGCGGATAAAAGTTTTATTTTTGCTCCTAAAATCGGCGGGGTTGTATCAAGGACACGATATTAAATAGGTATATTTCTCTTAATGTTTTCCATTTTTATTTAACCATATATAGTATAGTTTGCATGGTCCCGGCATAGAATGGACCACTTCTTACTTTCCTGTGGTAACTTAATGGTAGAAGGATGAGCAGCAGCGTCTTAAAACATTTCTAAAAGTTTAACTGTGGTTGCCAACTCGCCTGGCAAGCGTGGCAATTAAATGCAAAACTTCTTTTTTTTTATTTATTTTATACAATTTAGAATGGCAAACAAGCTGACGGCCCACCTGATGGAAAGTGGTAACCGTCAACTATAGACATGAGCAGTACCATGGATATAACAGAGTATACTGTTTCGCCCATGATACCCCCCATGCGTTGCCATTCCTGAGGACTCAGGTGTTATTCCTCTGTACCCAGTAAACTCACGTCACATCCCATCCTGCAAACCGAAACACAGCCATGCAAACACAACTGCTTTACGGTTGAAACACGAATGGTATAGAGGTACCCAAGCAATCTTTTGTACAAAGTCTCCCTCTGGTGAATTTTCGAATTTATTCTCTTCTGGGGAAGGCTTATGTTCAGCAGTGGACAGTTAACGGCTGAAACGAATGAAAGAATATAAAGTATTAAAAATTATATTATAAATAACCTTATACTTTATTAGATTACACAAAAATTTTATATAAAAAGTGATGCGAATTTGATCGATCCAGTAAATGTGTTTTAACAAAAAACGACACGAGCTACCCTTGACTCGATATAAAGGTAGGGTTCCTTTACATCATCGAGTCCTTAACGGTTTAATATTAACGGTTTCCGTTATGAATACAGTATGACGTAGGATTTTTCATTTATCCGCTATCAATATTTCGTCTACGCGTGTTGTATTTTCTGACTTTTGAATAGCACTATGAGAAATAGGTAAAATAGACATAGTTTTCTTTGAAATAGTTTATTAAATATTTTTTAATTGAAAATATATAATAAAAAATATGCTGTAAACACCGTAAATTACTCAATTCGAGGAAAAAATTAAAAAATATTGATATTTTTTTTGGATATAGTATAATGAAATGTAATGAAATAAGTTTATTTGTATTAAATAGTTTAAAGTTATTACAAGCCACGTGGTATTATTTTGGCACCTGTTTAATTGCCTTAAAAGATGTAGCCATGCAAATATTTTACATTTTATATAAAAAAAACCGGTAAACAAAATTATAATTCAATTACATTATTTAAATTGACCTTTCATATTAAAAGTCTAGATTGTAGTACATTATGTCATTTATACATATGTCTACACATAACAACTAATACAATAAATTTACAAAATAGAAAAATGTCAATAGAAGGGGGTAAAAAATAATTAAAATGTCACGCTTAACACTCAAGATATTCCTTGATACTATAAAACAGTGATAGGTCTTATTATGGAAATGATTATCTTATAATCATCACAGACAAGGAAATCAGTGTTAGCAAAGAGAAATGCTCACTTTAACAAATACTGCAACAGATAAAGACACTAGATTTTACCCGCGACTTTGTCTGTCTAACCAGTACAGTCTATGGTATCTGGGATCACATGACAATAACTATGGAAGGGATGACCCATGTGCCAAGTATCTGGGATCACATAACAATAAGGAAGTAAGGATAGATATACGAGAAAAATATACAGGAATCCTGTTAAAAGAGAAATCAAACTTAACATAGTGACGTGTCTCAAGTTGGCGAGAGAGGGTTCACTCTGTTATAGGTATCCCAATTATTGGGACGGAGTGTTTTGCATTTTATTTCCTCTCGTGAACCGCTAAGGAATATATTTTCCGATTCTACCGTACAGTATCAGTACTCTTAGGTAAAAATCAACGGGTACTCTTTGGACTCGCGAGGTTTAACTTCGAACATTTGATAAAAGAGTTCACTTTGTTTAAATTACACGGAAATATTTCGGTAATTCCTTCAAAGGAATTACGACAGAATTACTGAGAATTGATCCTACTTCAAATCGTATAAGATTCTTCATTTCATCCGATAAGATCGAACTCGAAAGTTATCTTTTTTTTTATACAACTTAGAATGGTAAACAAGCTGACTGCCCACCTGATGGAAAGCGGTAACCGTCGCCTATACACATGAGCAGTAGCATGGACATAACAGAGTATACTGTTTCGCCCATGATACCCCCCATGCGTTGCCATTCCTGAGGACCCAGGATTGGCAAGAAGTCACAACACAAGCAAACTATTTATATCGATTTAAATTGAAACTAAAGTATTAACTTTAGTTAATATAGTCTGTATGCTTAATAAATAGGTATACTAAAATATTATAATTATTACTTGCCATAAAGAGAAACGGACGCGAAAAAACAAAATTTGAAACCAATATTATTCGATGCTCCATCTAAAACGTTCATTTTTGAGACCATTTTCATTCTATACTCCATCTAGAAACATATGATCAACGGTTTTCCAAGTAATTCAATTGTAGCTGTTTACTTTCAAGGTCTAGTCATAAAAAAAAACTTGATACAAATGATTGATATTTCTTTTATATTTTGAAATTTATCCCTTGAACCTGTAGAGAGGGGAGCTCCACAACCTTCCATACATCCTATAAGCGACCTCTCTGTATGTAATTGGATTCATTTTGTGAAAAACGCAATCGTCTGTACTAAGCAGAATCTACCTGTCTATGATAAAAAGGATTTATTGTTTGAACAAAACATACGTACCTCTATTGGGTTACGTGTACAGAAAAAGGGGCACAGAAATGATGAACTTTTTTTTTTTTCTCTAAATAACACGTCATTACGTGCGTTGACGTGTCTACAGTTTTTGTTATCGATCCCATATTAAATTTGCATGATAAATTGATAATCACGATTGCCAATTTAATTGTTCTTTGGCTCCAAATACGAGGTCAGTGATTGACAGTAGGTACGATATGTTACAATATAATTCAATGAAACGGCCGGCAGCATACCTGCAATGCCGTATGTGTTGTGGGTGATCAAGGGCGGCGGTAGTCACTTACCATCAGGTGAGCTGTATGCTCGTTTGCCCCCTGTGTTGTAAAAAAAAATGTAAACAATCGAATAATTGATCATAATACAATGTATTAATGTCTAACAGTACCTATCAGCCGTTAGCTGTCCACTGCTGGACATGGGCCTCCCACTAATGGAGGGTTTTGTCGATAGTCTTCACGCTTCTCAGGTTGGTTGGCAATCGTAATTAGGCTTTGGTGATTTTTTTTTATGTAACTTAGAATGGCAAACAAGCTGACGGCCCACCTGATGGAAAGTGGTAACCGTCGCCTATAGACATGAGCAGTACCATGGACATAACAAAGTATACTGTTTCGCCCATGTTATTTCTCTGTACCCAGTAAATTCACGCCATATCCCACCTTTTAAACCGAAACACACCCATGCAAACACAACTGCTTCACGGTAGAAACACGAATGGGACAGAGGTACCCAAGCAATCGACTTTTGTACAAAGGCTCCCTCTGGTATGGCATATAAAAACGACAATTTATAATAAGTATAATTAAAAATTTTATGCGTTATATAAACTGATGTGTCTATGCGAA